AGGCCCAACAACAAGCACCACCCAGAGGAACTACGCAAGATCCATAAGAGTGGCGTTCTGTCTACCTGTTTATCCGAAGACAAGCAAGAGAATTGTGCCAATGTCCTAGTGGCGATGTAGAGTCCGAGGATTCGATCAAACAGCTATACCCTTTCCATCAGGACGATCGAGCTCGTCACGATTCACTGTGCCTTTTGACTACCTAGGCTTAAGTCACAGCATTGTGCTTCAAAGCGAACTGAGGCAGGCAGGGCGCCTTGGAATGTTGGAGGAGGAAAAGAAGGACGGCATTCGCAGTCATCTACTCAAGGCTGCCACCAAAATTGCAGCCACGGTCACGAAAATTCACAAAGATTACCCGTACGGAAATGTCCATATGAGTCTCATGATGGGGCCACTGCTAATCGAAAATGGAGTTCCTCAGTTTGTACCCTTTTCTTTCATTCCCCTTTTACAGCGTCGATTGAAGCTATTCTGACTCTTATCCTATCATATCCATGGGTGGCGTACTGATCACACTTCGAGACCGGCTCCAGTTTCATCCCGTAGATACTACCACAGCCTCAGTAAGAAAGTGCTTCGCTCTCAGTAAGGACAGGCAACCGTTCAAGGCAGAGAAGCATCTGAATGGAGACCGCCGAGTTAAACCCTTCATGAAACAGGTTGTGGGCAGCCCATTTTGGAGGCTGGGAGAAGACGATCATGTGGCCGAGGCGGAAATCATCAGCGATGTGGCCAAGGCTAGTCTTACCTATGCCGGCGACCCGATGAAGTCGCCCCAGTGGAACGAACGGAATAAGTTCAAGACAAGAAAAACGATTCTCAAGAAGCTTCAGGCACTTCTTCATGGGCGCGTTAAAATTAACATAGAGACCATTGTCAACAAACTCTTCGATAAAGGCTTGCCTCTCGGTTGGTTATACTCTCTGTTTATCTTTTATCCTAAAGTTTACTTCCCATTCATCAATTATATCCTGAGCTTTGTCAAATATGCAAACTGGATCTGAACGGATCATTGACTTCTATCTCAGAGTGGAATCCCGGGAGAAACAATTGTCAAAAGTTCTGTGACGCTTTGATCGACCGTAACGCCTTTGGTAGCTTCATGGTTCATCCACGACACTGCGAAAAAGAGCAACACGCAGATCAGGCGTCGCAAGTCCTTTACTTGATGAGCTTTGTCAGTCGAATCGGTTGCCATGATGGGTTCCCCAGGCGGGTAATCCCTTTTTCGAAAGCAGCATCCGCAAACGGTCATACGGAGGAGTTTCTCCTTCGCTTCCGTCGTTTCGACCACCATAATGACACAGATATCATTGACAGCCTGACAGAGTACTGGAACGATTGGGGAGGTTTCAAAGCACCCATGTTCCGACATCAAAGCCTCTTCCCATGGGATCGTACCGAAGCACGCACTTTGGAGGAGGAGGCTGAGCACCCCCAACCGAAACGCGGAGAATGTTCCTTGGCCAAGCATCTTTGGGCATTCCCTTTTGACGCATGGTCAGTAGCTCAACTTCATATTTTCAGGGAGCGACGTTTCTATGCTCCTTTACCAACGGTTGAGGGAGATGATTGCACTCAGATTAGTTGCAAAGAATGGATGGAAAATCGACTTCGGTTGCTCGAATCACTCCAGGCCCTAGGCGACATCGCAGTCGCAATGCATCGATCACGGATCTTCCGCGACAGGAGCCGCTGGAATTTCAAAGCTCGCCGCTTGGTGTTCGAAAACCTACTCAAAGACCAAAGAATATTCCACAACGGCCACACAACTACCTTAAGATGGCTTATGAAAAAGAGGCTCCGCAGACTTGTCGTCCGACCAGATGGACCTCTTATCCTGCACGATCGCACAAAGCTCGCAGGCATTCACTGCGCCCAGCCCTTGAGCTATCTCTACGAGCATGCCATGTACCATGACTGCACTTTGGCTGACTGGGCTGACCTGACCCACGATGGGCAGGTGGCAGCTTACGTAGCGCTACGCGACTTCAGATCAGAGCATGTAGATGAGATCATCGAGGAGGCAAAGCGAAGGGCGGAATCTAGAACGCAGTATTCCAATGGCCCGTTGAGAGGCCCCGGAATCGATATGAATGCCACCTCCAGCATGGGAACCGGGGATTGGCTATCTGAAGACCTAGTTCCGGAAGATTGCGATGTTTCCTATGCAGAAGTGGACTTTGAATCGAAGGATGATACAGGTGGCTGTGACTGCTTGTACGATGCTACGGGTTTATCGGGGTTTGAACAGTGTATAACAGATGGAGGATGGAGCTTTAGTGACGGTGGGAGCGGATTTCTTGCCGACGCGGGCTCTGCAGGGCTCAACATCCTATGCGGTAGCGATGGAAGTAGCGGTCATGGAGCTAGCGGTGATGGAGGCAGCGGCGACGGTGGTAGTAACGATAGAAGTGGCGGTGGTCGTGATGGTGGTAGTCACGGAGGGGGAAAGTCCCATGCAGGAAGTAGTATGAACGACCAATCATGGCAGATTACGATGGTAATGTTTTGGGACGACGAGAGGGTGCTTGTATTGTCGGAGAGGCTGTTGCTGTCATCTGCCGACTTTTCTCAACAGAGTCGATATCGAGGCTGGGGCCAAAGCTGGAGCATCAGGCCTTTGGATCCAATGATTAGCGAGCTCATCCCAGAAACAGTGTGATCTCCGGAGTTCGGATCGTACCATTGTACATGAATGATGAACCTTGAGTAAACTTCCCGCGTATATAAATCCTCATAACAAATTTGCCTTGCACTGAGGACGATAACCTTGCGGTTTAGCCAAGGAATTCTCGCTATTATTGAAATAGAGACGATGATCAAGCAGATATGGTAGGTCATACTCGAAACACCAAGCTGCCCCTTGAATCATCAACGACCTTGGAAAGAGCCGAGGAAGAGGAGGCTATCGTCAAAACATGGGCAGTAACTGTGCGGCGCGGCTGTAGCCCATAGCCACATTATGGCCAGGGGGTTGTTGTGTAACACATGGAGTGGATTTATCCCCGCCGAAGCGTCAGCCGAGCGGAAAGCCTCGCCCCAGCGAGCTCCCTCTTCCCACAATAGCAATCCCAGCGAAGCTGAGACCCGTTGACAGCCGCGGACAACGGCTTTGCGGGCCGTCTGAGTCCCTGATTCATGACGGCCGCACTCGTTGCGACGGCGTTTAGCTAGCGCTGTGGTCCCCTTGCCAAGCTTGCCAAACGATGAGGCGTGAGCGAAAGCTTAAATCGACGTTAACCCGCAACGGGATGTGATCCCAGCAACATGAGGTACGACTATCCTAGCAGGAGAAAAGCACTGACAGCCGTAAAGATCGACTCCACCAGTCGATTGGCTTTCGATTTACGGTTTGCTGCACTCTCCTTATCGGTGTACACTAGAACAGCGTAACGGCGTTTGTCTGACAGTGGGGGTCCTTGCTGGAGATAAAGGCTGACATCGAACTTTATTCTCGTCGATTGCCATTAGCAGTAATTCACCCCGGCTGATATCTGTAGATCTCATCCCTAATTCGTCCTCCACAATATCAAATATGACAAGATATCTCGGTTGTGTGATTGACGCCTGATTCATGGCGGCCGCACGGCCACACCGTTGTCTGGCGGCGGGGTCCGCGGCAAACATCGGCCCGGATGCGAAACCTTGCGCCGGAGTGTGGGGCAGACCCGACCGGGTTCCGGCTTTGAACCAACTACATTGCTTCCGGTTCGTACCCAAGGCTCCATGCGCGGATAAAGCACGTGTGGATGCGGCTAAGAGAAACCCTAGAAAGACCTCTCGGAAAGGCCCCCCGACATCGCCAGTCAAATCTCGGCCGAGACGGGGTTCTGGCATTGGGCGTTTACTCCGTAGGCCTCAAGTGTTCCACAGCTCCACTATGGTCATTTGGAGGCCTACTGGCCTGCCTCGGCTTGGCATGATAGCAACGCGGGGCGGCGGGGGTCAGCGTCCCGCATCTCGCCCCGGGTTCTCTTGTTGTCCGGGGAGTCAGAACGTGGAATTGTCCGCCGACTCCCGAGGAAGTCTTGTGACCCAAATTGGCAGGATCCTTGCTGCAGGTAATTTTATTTCATCCCGTACCAAATGACTAGCACCCGTGGGGCTGGGTGCTTTCTTGGGGCTGATCTGCTGCTCTCTCTAGTGTAATTCGTAGATCCCAGTTCAATTTTAGAACAATGAGTCTTACAAGGATGTCGTTGACAAACTTGGTTCTTGTCTCTTTCGGACGAGACGGCAACGTCATGAACGGGTAGAGTTGGGCCAATACCAGTTGCCTAGCTCAGTGAGATCAGCCCAAACTGCCTTTGAGATTTGGCCGGCCGCCCGGCTTGCGTACTTGCTTCGGGCTATTTTCTATATGCCCCGCGAGTCAAGTCATTGCTACTTTACGAGCTTGTAAAGCCAAGTAACGGTTGACCCCATACGAGACTCAAAACTCACTTGAAGCATGGCGCGCGTCTCCATGGGCCATTCATGGGGCATGGTTCGCTTAGCTTAACTGCAGACAAGCAGTGAATCAAGTAGAAACTATCACAGCTTGGATCTTGATCACTGCTCAGCATTGCGATTATGCGATATGCAAAATACAGAAGGAACAACGTGAAATGAAAGGTCCCACACATTGACTTTCGTCAGAGATGGTGGCTATTGCGACATACTACAAACTCCACATGTGCAATGGAGGGATTCACTATAGTCTTTAGATAGCAATGCGATCTCCTCGTACCTAGGTCGCCAAGAAGCGGACGTCAGACTTAGTGTAGTCTGGGTTCTAGCGGTAGCTCGGTCTCGCTTTTTGCATAGAAGCGCACGAAGCACGTGTTTTGGGAAGGGCTAGGCGTACTGCACATTTAGCTTGCCTTTATTTGCCGCAGCCTCTCGGGTGATTGACTCGAGCAACCCTAAGCTACATGTAACACGGACTCCTCTATGCTTTTCGGGTACTATTCTAAGGTTCACACGATCAGATGGAAAAAAGAAGGAGGAAAAGCTCAGACGAAGCTCGCGACCCAAACATCCATGGCAGCAACACCCTTCTTACCCCCCGGTACACCGTCCAAACTCGCCTCGCAAGCATCACGTAACGCAAAGACCACGGCGCGCTCCCGCTCATCCTTGACACGCTCCTCCACCTCGCGCGCAAAACCGGATCCAAGACAGGCAGAGACCTCCCACTGTCCGTCCTGAAGGCCCTCGCCGCACTGCACGCGGCTCTCCTTCTCCAGTTTCCAACCGGCCGCAACAGCTAGTTCTGTGAGGCGCTTCGGACCCAGAACCGTACGGACGTTGGAGATGCTCTCTTCGCCTTTGCGGCACTCTAGCGCTGCTTGGGTGAGAGCAGCTAGGACGTGAGGCCGGGCGGCTGGGTGCGTTGCTTCAAGGGACCATTCGGAGAGGAGCAGACGCTTGCTGTGCTGTCTGATGGCACGGAAGGTTTCCAGGATGAGAGAGGGGGAGGAAAAGTACCAGAGACAGTGAGCAAGGACTGTTGCATCAAAGGCCTTGGCGTTGCTGGGTGAAGCGAGGGAGGAGAGATAGTCCTGAGGGCTTTGCTGGACCCAGTTGATACGTTTGCCAAGCGGGCCTTGTGAGATGTGATCCTGTGCTTGCTTGAGAGTGTACGGGGCACCTACACGAGTGATTAGATGGCCTACCTCCCAAGGCGACTGACAAGAATCACAGAAGGCAGTCGGAACTCACCATAGTCCAGCGAGGCCGGATCGACGGCCACCACGGTACCTTGCTCACCCACAATAGTGGCGAGAGCGGTTGTGCAATCTCCCTGACCGCATCCTAGTTCCAAGATCTTGGAGCTCGCTGGAATGTCCCACTGCTGTAGGAGAGCCAGGCGGTGAGCAGTCTGGATGAGTTGGACATTGAAGTGCTTGGGGTCGTGCAAGGAAACACGAGCGATAGAAGCGGCGTCGAGTTGAGTGGACATCTTGTTGAGTGTGTAAGTTGAGTGAGTTCTAGATGAGTGATCGAGAGATGCAACAGGGATTAGTGTCCTGGGATCGGCCAAGGAGGGTAAAGTAATGAAAGATCTGGTGGATTCTTATTTCTGGAAGCTATCGTTGGGGGCAGTGGACTCTTGTACTTAGTATGTAGGGTGAGACCTGGCCTTTAGTGTTTGTGTTAGGTTGACCCCTCCAAGGATTTAGGAACAAAACATGCTGCCCACGAAAGCCATGGCCAATTCCATTGTCAAATGTCTGTGCATATTCTGCTCCTAATCCGTCAGTCAGTCCCTCCTCCACTTCATTCCCTCTTCCTCACCAACTCAAACCCAAATCGTGGCAGCATGGTGTCCAGATGCATGAAGCTGACATGACACGCCACGCGCTGGCACTTCAACTCTACCACGAGATTTTCTGCCCCGCTAGGGCAGGCAAACTCCACCGTCGTGCTATTCGGTTTTACGGTGAGGTCTAGTACGCCGAGCAGCTCGCCGCGCACAGGGAGAGCCGAGTACGACACGGTATCATAGTCGAGCTCATCCATATTTGTGGATGAGCCGGGCTTCGAAGTGGCCGAGGGCGCGATAAGCTGCCAGACTTCAATCTCGGATACGTCTCCTTTGGTTGTCAGGTCCTTGATGCGCGTGGAATTTTCCGGAGGCGCGAGCCAGTTGATTGCGCAGGCGTTGATACCGGCGGTAGGAACCGGGAAACGCATGATGGTTGAGTCCTTTTTTTCACATCAGTTTTCTTGTTTGAACGGAAAATGGTGAGAACAAGATAATAGGAAATTGCGCGTACCTCGACAGTCACATAGACCTGCGGCCCGTTTCCCCACACTGAATTCTTCAACTTGCGGCTCACTCGCACCACTCTGTCCGGCCAGGCACGGAGATACTCTCTGGGAGGGCGAAGAATCTTGGCTGCTCTGTCCAGTCCTAACCTGGCGTCACCGTAGGGAAGGGCATTCAGTTCAGAGTCCGTATAAGGGTAAGCTGCGTAGTTTGACAGCGTCGCAGGAAGCAGAGCGATGTTGGCGCATGATAGCAAGGCTAAAGCCAAGGAGAAGTAGAGGATGAGCTTGGGAAGCTGCCAGTGTTTGGATGCCTGGAGACCGGGAAGATTCTCAGAAGCTTCCAACAAGGGGTGATCGTCATCATCCTCAGAAGATGAGCGCTTCTCGAGAGATGTACTAGAGCTGGAACCCTCGCCGCCGCCTGGTCGGGAGAGTGACGTGTACTGGGAAGTGTTTGACTTTGATTTGTAAAACATCGTGAGAGGTCGTTCTAGAGCACGAATGAGAGTAAAACGACGGACGATGATGAGAAAGGCGAGAAGATTGGAAATTTTGGATGAAAAAGAAGATCAGAATTGATTCAGTGCAGACCAGAGATGTTCAGACAGAGACAGATGATGAATTCGAATAAAGCTTCAACACGCGGAACAACCGTGTGGCGCAGTCTAGCCATTGAGGAGCACCTAGAAATAATGACATAGTGGGACTGCAACGCGTCTGTAGTTTCAAACTTTCACCAGAACTTGACTCGATCAGTACGACGAGGATAATTTATCTGACATTCCGGGGTGACCGTGTCGGTGACTTTCAACAGTCTCAGGTCAGTTGAGAGTTGGACTGTCAGGTGTCTTGGCACGAGCTATATCATCTTGCTCTCTCTCTCTGCCGCAGATGGCCGCGTACAACGTGGAACCTACGCCGATCCAGCACTTGACATCCCATACACCATGCCTAACGTTCCTACCGTCCTTACTTTTTTGCTTGCCCTCGGCACCGGCATTAACCTCACATCCGCCGCCGCCCCCGCCCACGCCGGTTTCCACGTTCAGTACCCATGGTCATCCCGTGGTGCCAACCTCCCGTCTCGGCCAGAGTTAGATGAGTTCCACCCGTTTTGCCGTAAGTTTCTCCTTTCAGTCTCCAGTTCATCAGACTCCCCAGTATTGTCATGGTCTAACACACAGCCAAAGGGGAGATCGTGCACAACCCCCAAGCCTACGCCCGCAGCTCTCGCACGTTCCTTTCCTTCTCAGGCCATCCTGGGGACCTTGTCACGGCTCTTTACACTCGGAACAGAGTGCCGAAGAAGAGGGACGACTTCCCTCATGTCATTCTGCAAGACTTACCCATCCAGCCCTCTGGGCAGGTATGCGTCAATGTCACGATCCCATTTGAGACTAAACTCAACGAGATGGGAGTCATGTATTTTGAGGCCAAGGACCCGGCGACGGGCCAGGTGCAATATTTTGTGAGTTGCCCCTGCTGAAAGCTACATATCGTGGGATTGAGACTTATATGATATCAATGGATAGTGCATCGATGTAAAGATGGCTGACACGGAGGCTCTCCCCGAAGAGCACCCGGCGATGTGTGCGGCTGGGAACGAGACGCTCATTCCGATGCCGGATGAATACCTGTAGATAAAGCCTGAGACGCAATCATTTCTCAAAGCTGTTGAATCTAAATATGCAATTTAACACCTCTATCTTAGCTCAGAATACACCAGATCAATGCTCAGGGGGCCACAACCTCGGAAGGAACATGACTCGGTGTTGAGCTATGTGTGTTTGCAGCATTCTTTCATGAAAACCCGCCTTTCATTTTTTGTTTACAAATCCAACATGATCGTGTGAAATAGAGTTCACATTCAATTCCTCTGCATAAAATGAATGAATCAGAACGAAGGAACTCGAAAAAAGAGACCTCACGTTCGATGCGCAAAGAAACATAGACTCCCCCTAGGATCAGCGTTCAATGTCTTGGCAAGGCTATCAAGACAGCGTCAGAGCAAGGGCATCAATAACGTGAGGAGATTCCTCGTACTCGTAAACACCGTCGGGAAGAGAGCGACCGATCGGGCCTTGGTCGCGAAGACTCCATCATGCTATGCAAGCGCTCCACAGACTAATGTAGTAAACCTTAAACTACCGTACGACTACCAAGTTTTCGAGGGGCATGGGGGAGGCTATCCGGCGGAGACCCGACTGGACAAAAACACATGTGCGTGAGGAAACGATTACTCACCCAGATGCGCCCAGACACCTTGATTTGCTTCTTTTTAGTTTTGAGTTTTGGTATACTTGTTTTAGTAATACCCGCGCTAAGACAGTAGAGTTAAAATGATAAGCAAAGAAGGTTATGGAATGGCTTGCGGATATGGGGATACGCTTATTTTAGGGACACTTGCCAAGACAGAACGATGATATTGAAAAGAGAATTCTATAGTAATTGAAGAAGGACACCTTGAACTAAACAAACCTAGCTACGCATTTGATCACTGGAAGTTCGCAAAAGTGCTGAGACACCCCACTACATCTCCCCTTCTCACTAGCAAGCCATAAAATCTATACCGCCCAAAACGATTTTGCCGCAAATCCGCTCCTGCAGTGACTTTTCCTGACTCGCTTTTACCGCCTTTGGACTTAGGCGGAAGTCTCATCCTTGTCGACGGAGTAGACGTGACGCTTCTCAACCTCGTCCTTGTCGACAGAGTAGACGTGACGCTTAGCGACGGGGGCCTCATCGACATCAGGAGAGTAGACGTGGCGCTTCTCAACCTCGTCCTTGTCGACAGAGTAGACGTGACGCTTAGCGACGGGGGCCTCATCGACATCGGGAGAGTAGACGTGACGCTTCTCGACCTCATCCTTGTCAACAGAGTAGACGTGACGCTTAGCAACGGGAGCTTCGTCAACGTCGGGGGAATAGACGTGACGCTTCTCGACCTCATCCTTGTCAACAGAGTAGACGTGGCGCTTGGCAACGGGAGCCTCATCAACATCGGGGGAGTAGACGTGGCGCTTCTCGACCTCGTCCTTGTCGACAGAGTAGACGTGGCGCTTGGCAACGGGAGCCTCATCAACATCGGGGGAGTAGACGTGGCGCTTCTCGACCTCGTCCTTATCGACAGAGTAGACATGACGCTTGTTGAGAGTCTCGTCGACATCAGGGGAGTAGACGTGACGCTTCTCAACCTCGTCTTTATCAACAGAGTAGACGTGGCGCTTGGCAACGGAGGTCTCGTCCTTGTCGACAGAGTAGACGTGACGCTTGTTGAGGGTCTCGTCAACATCCGGGGAGTAGACGTGACGCTTTTCGACCTCGTCCTTATCAACGGAGTAGACATGACGCTTGTTGAGTGTCTCGTCGACATCAGGGGAGTAGACGTGACGCTTCTCAACCTCGTCCTTGTCGACAGAGTAGACATGACGCTTGTTGAGTGTCTCATCGACATCAGGCGAGTAGACGTGGCGCTTCTCAACCTCGTCCTTGTCGACAGAGTAGACGTGGCGCTTCTCAACGGGAGCTTCGTCAACATCGGGAGAATAGACGTGACGCGCTGCCAGAGCAGCTTCAGCGCCAGGAATAGGCCCGGCCTGAACAGGGAGAACGTTCAGGCCGAGACTGGCAAGGCTGAGCATAACGCTGGTGATCTGCATTTTGAAAGATTTGTTGAAAAATTGGTAGTTGGAAAGAAAAGGTGAGTTGAAGAAGATATTGAACTGATTGTCAGATGATTGTTGTCAAGTGAGTTGTTGGTCTGGATGCTCTTTCTGTCGATGGTCGATATTTCGTTGGGTATTTATGGATTTCGAGCTCCAAGTGATGAAGCCCATGGGAGGGATATCCGTTCGACAATCTCTCCGTATGGCTACGAATCCCCACGATCACAAGCGTGCATGTGCGCTGTTGCGCCGGCGTTGCCTTCGCGATAATTCTCAAGTCGTGGGTCTTCAGACATTCGTGCCGAGTCTCTAACATGCCTCGTAAAGTTTTCCAGGTGGATTCCACGATGGGGTTCCAGACAAAGATCGTGACTAGCTATCGCGTTCGGTATACGAGGCTGGTGGAGATCTCTAACAGCAGGGCCGGGGGCGTGTAGATGGCTCGCCAGCATGACACGCCGTCGGAAGGAGTCATGATGTCCTGATGTCCGTTCCGCCGGGCAAGCCTCATCCAAGCCTCCGTCAGCTCAATCGGTCAAGCCCCAAGGCCTATGGTAGGCGAACAGATTGACCTGCGGGCGTCCATGATTCATCTGGCTATTGAAACTTTACTTTCGTCGCATATCGAGCAGTCACATCATTTCGTGTGGAGCACGCAACCTGTTCCATACCTGCGGTCCCTTCCTTCCGCTGCTGGGATCCGGATTCCCGAGGTTCGTCTAGATGGAGAAACTTTCTTTCATCGCAAGTCGAGCGAGCAGATCTTGTGGAACCTCAAACGGTCCTGTGGTGCTTTTCGTCATCAACACAACAACGGAGATTCCGAAGTTCATCTAGATGTTCATCTAGACGATGAAACTTACTGTCGTCGTATATCGAGCAGCTTTTGTGGGACCGGAGGTTGTCATGCGGTCCCTGTCAGCATACTTGGGGCTCTCCACATGGTCGATGCAACCCTTGGACGACTGACTCTCATCAGTAGATCTTTTTGACACTTGCGAGGTTGCGAATCCTCTTGTACTGCCCCATGCTATCATCATGTCGCGACTCGTCTACTCCAGCGAGGGCGGATACGGCCACAGATCTGTTAAACACTGCTCGCCCACTTCCAGCGCTGTTGATCCAAACGATTATGTTCTTTCTTTGCCAACCTCAACGCAATACCCTGCCAGCACGCCATCATGTCTTTGAAGTCTTTGAAGTCTCAATTACGAGGCCCCTCACTCGGCCTGTTTGCAGCGCTCTGCGTATGCCTTGTCTTGAACTTGGGCGCTCTCTTCTTCTCCTTCCGCGTCTTGACCCGCGGTTCACAGTCATACAGTACGTCTAATCCTCTTCTTTCAGTTTCTTTCTTACCTCAAGTATGTGACTAATACATGATAGCCTACCTCGAAGGTGACCGACCACATGAGCTTCCTATCAAGGTCCGCACCATTCAAGCCGAATTCGTAGATGACCCTGAGCACTACGGGATGGAAGGCTTCGCTTCTACGGTTGAATGGAACGCAATCCGCCCCCCTGGAAAGGGTTTCGTCTTCCTAGGCCAAGAACACTATGCGTTTGGCGTGTCAATGTGGCATCAGATGCACTGCTTGAGCCACATTCGTGCCGTGCTCGTCAACGGAGACGATGGGTCTGACCACACGGAGCACTGCTTCCATTACTTGCGGCAGGGCATTCTCTGCGCGGCTGACACAACGATCGAACCTGGTGGCACAAACAAGAAACTGCCTAATGGTGACAAAGTCGCTGCAGGCGATGGGGCTAAACACACGTGCCGAGACTGGAGACAGGTGCACGATTGGATGGCAGAGCAACATTCGAAATGGACGCCTGACATGTTTGAGAGGATCAATGAGTCTAGTCTATAGAGGTTTAACTTTGAATAAAAACTACGTGCATAGCATTAGAAATCTCTCAAGCTTTCCATATCTTTCACTTCAGTAACTCATCTGGTCTGCATCTTCTGCTTCATTCCCTGCGTGTGCTTCGTGCCATCGCTTTGTGCCATCGCTTCGTGTAAGTGGGTGTGCACAGACTTAAGCAGAGCTGAACTCTAATGGGGAGGCATCGTAAGCGGGAACAGGGTGTCACTGATTCGAATCAAACTCCTCAAGATGCCAAGATGCGTTGTTTGTTATTCTAGCCCGAAGACCGTCACTCATTATCTACATACTGATAACACAGGGGCCCAGACTCCGTGTCAAAAACCTGTCTTGGCGTCACGGGCACACTCTGTACATCAAATGGCATCTCGTAATCTGCGCTTGCTTTAACATCATATTGCGGGTCGCTCATATTGAACGAGTGAAAGGGTATGCCGGAGAAGGCGGCAAAATTGGCGGGGTGTCGGTGTTGCCACTGTAAAAGTCATCAACGCACGTTAGCATATCTGATGTGACAGTTGAATCAAGTAAGGTTTGAGAGGGGTGCACACCTTGCTCCATAAACGGTCAAGCTGCGCATGATGCAACCAAAAGAGAGGGTCATTTGGCGTGAAGGCGACGGCTAGGTCCTTGCAATCGTCCACTGGCAATTTCTTTGGGCAGTCCCCCGCCAAGTCACCGCCAACGAAGTTATGGACGTGATTATGCATCTGCTCCATTGAGTGCTGGAAACTGTAAAAGTCGCCCGTGTGATGCTCAGTCGAGTTCCGCACAGAGTCTGGGCCTAGTGTGGAGTTCTGGGGCTTCTCATGATCGAACCAGCCAGTGATGAGCGTCAAGTTCCTACGCAGTGGGTGCGGGATCGGCCAGGCGAGCTCAAACTGGGCAAAAGCGCCTGTGTTGACCATGCAATCGGCCTCGGGTGAAGAATTACAGTCTCCAGTCCCGCCTAGTCCAAAATCGGATGAATCTTCGAACACGGAAGAGCCGACCAGGTCCGCGTGATCGCGCGACCAGTCCCAGTATGGCGTTGGACCACTGTACCCGCAGTTTTGGCGGAGAGACGCGTCGAATAGGTAGAGAAACCAGCGGTCTGCGCTTGTGTAAGTATCGAGGCGTTTGGCGTAGGAAAGGAGGGGGAACGTACGCCACGGCAAAAAGTAGACATTTCTATGCGCGCTGTGCTCTACTGCTGCGTGCGAGTACGAGAAGTCATCGTATATACTTCTCATCCCCTCGAGAACTTTTTGTTCTGGCGTGAATGACAATCGTTGGTGCCGTATGCTTCCGAGGCATTTCACAGCTCCTACCCAGCCAGATTTCTCGTCCTGCGTCAATGTTCGCCATTCTTTGCGTTTCAAAAGCTTGCCGCATTTTGTTGTTTGTCCGTGGCTGGGGAGGACTGAGAAAATGGCAAGTGCAAAGAGAAATAACACTGTTTGACCCATGGCTCTAACAAGAATGTGTATTCAGGTTCTTAGAGAAACGGACAGACGCAGTCACACAGACTGGATGGTAGTTACAGGGTTAAATAAGCAGTTTTGCTATCTCGTTTGGCCTGTGTCCCACTTAAGCGCTGTTTCGGCCAATGAGAGATTATCTTATAGACTTATACTGCCATCCCGCCGGCCGACGCCTAGTTCTACCTCAAATGGGATTGTAAGTTCTACGCTGTGGCAGGACAAACAGCCTACGAGTACAGTTATTATCACGTTGAAATTCACTAATATCATCACGGGGCATCATTATTTCAATTGCAAAGGTGTCTTCGTTCCGATGTAAGTTGTGTTGACCACTGAACCAGAAGTTCGGCTCGGCAGAGAATCTGACGTGGCCTGTCATCCGAGACACTTCCAACTCCAGGCGGCTTTCCATGGTCTTTGACTCGTCAGCAACCCGCGATAAGGCTGATTGTGCTCGAGGGATGCATCAGGTCTCACTAGCCGAAGGTTTCCTTGAGTTAAAGTGGGACACACGCCCCCCCGGTAGAACCTTAAACATGAACAGAGATGATCCCAGTTTCCATCCGTGGGACCGTGAATCGTTATAATCCACTATTTTCGATTCAGACAATGCTCAGACTGTAGCCCCCATCGCTTGGAGCCGGACGGCGGGCGCAGCCGTTGCGCTCTGATACTTGCGGCGACTTCTGATATTCGAGACTGGATGTAAAGTATCTCGCCCTGAGGGGTAATAGCAGCTGGCGAAGAGGTTCCCGGGAAGGGACTTTCCCACTTATGATGCCGTTCATCCACTCCTCAAGCTCTTTCTGCTTCTATCAAAGCTGCGTTTAGCACGAAGAATCACCTCCTCTGGCACAAAGTTACGCCCAAGCCACAATCGGAATGATGTACTCATCAATATTCCCCTCTCGCTCCCTTGCTCTCTTCCTCTGCATTATCTTTCCCTTCTACCTCGCTCTCCGCGGATCTGGATCGTTGTCTGACGTCGCAATTTTCTTTTCCAAGCTCTCCCTACGCGCCGAAGCCCTTCACGTTGCGCTCAACGCCCCTCTAGACACTCCTCCCCCATCCATTTCTAAAGCCCCCGTCGGGACTTCCACAAGGCCTGCCAAGGTTGTACGCGCAACTGAAGGAGGAAAGAAGCTCCCCGAAGATTTGGCACACGCTATCAACTCATTCGAGCAGTATGCGTCTCTCGCCCAGGGAGTCCTGCAGCGGAAGTATGCGCGGTACGACCGCCAAACACCCGCGCAGAAGCTGATGAGTGACAAGCTCGGGTATCCTGAGCACTTTGAGAGGGCTACGGAAGGGATCAATGTAAACGCTCGTCTCTCGAAGCAGATTGCACAGATTTCAAGGAAGCATTACCAAACCGGCCCAGGAGCGTTAACGGACGAAGACGATGCCGAGTTTGGTCTGGTAGACCTGACATTTGGACATCTTTCACGAGACTGGAGCACGTTTGGCGCCAAAGAGAGGGAGGCTACGTTCCCGCCCGTCATTGCTGGCCTTGAGAAACATTTTGGTGAAAATGGTAAGGGCAAGAAGGTTCTTGTTCCCGGGTGCGGCATGGGCAGACTGGCAAGCGATATTGCTGATCTTGGTGCGTATCTCTTCCGCAGCTGACTTCTGGGCTTGATCTCAAGTGTTAACCCATGGACGCAGGGTATGATGTTACAGCCAACGATCTAGATTTCAGCTCGATCTTGGCTCACCACCTTCTTACAAACCACACAACCTCACTGCATCAACATACTATTCATCCTTTTGTCACCAAATGGACCCATCAATCCAACCCCTCCTCACGCTACACAGCCCTAACAGTGCCTGATCACATGCCGAACAAGGCGGTCAAATTCGTCGAAGGCGACTTCTTGGAGATGTTCCCCGAAGACGGCCAATTCGACGCCGTTGTCTCATTGTTCTTCATTGACATTGGCAGCAACATCATTGATTTTTTGAGCAACATTCACCGGCTACTGAAGCCTGGTGGCACTTGGGTCAACCTTGGACGTAAGCCATCACTATTGCCTCAGGCCCCTTTCTTCCTTTAGTCTTGACCCTTCTTGTTTTCTTGTAACTCAACTAGCGAAGTCAAACTGACATATGACGACGTAGCATTGAAATATGGTACCCACACCGCCCTTCAGCTCTCCGCTGAGGAAGTCCTTCATCTGGCGGATCTGATTGGATTCGACGTAGACCTTTCATCGCGGAAGAATATTGACAGCCTATATGCTCAACAGCCAGAATCTTTGCTCAAGTTCACTTATGGTAAGTATTCGTTGTTCTCTTTTTGGGAAAAGAGAACGATATCTAATGGGGAGAATAGTCACACAATATTGGACGGCCACAAAGAGAGTTTGAAACAGAGGCGTTTGGTCCCTTTCAGGTTCAGAGCCAGATATGGTATCATGGAGGATGTATTATTTCATCTTGTCACATGAGGCAGCAGGCCTGCAGATGAATCACGCGACTTTCCTAAGGGGAGGAAAGCTAGTTTACTTAGCTAAATTCGAAAGAGAGACATCAGAACACGTATCATCTTGAACTTTACAAGGTCCCGCATGTACGGCTTTGTCGTCGATGAGCATTTGTCTTTTTGATCGTCCGTTTTCTAAATTCAGCTCCTAACTGCCATAGTTATGGGGGCAGCTTAGCATTATAGCATCTTGACGATTTACATCCGAATTTCCTCCCTCAAAGCCTTCCCCTGATGGACCTGCACCAATTCATTGAGATCAATGTTGCCGTTACTAGCGAAGTGAAATCACAAGACTTTAGGTGATGGCTGTTTCCGTAAAGGCAATTCCAATGGGAGAAACATTCAGTGATAGATACTTTTCACTTTTCGTTGGCGTTAGGTTCTTCTCAATTTGAGTATTCCTATTCTACTTGAAAGTCCGCATGTTGGCCATATGTCTTTGCTGCTTACATTATGATGTTGGCCCTGACCACTAGAGACTCAAAACCATCGTGATATGCCAAGGGATTCTAATCTTGTGATTCCGTAGATGCACAGACTCACAGCCTCATGTATGCGAGAAGATAGTGGCGTTGATCTAACCCTACTTGCCTAATTTTCCTTTCTACCTGTTATCACAAAGTATGCGAAAGAACAAATTTGAAAAGAATTGGATAAGAAATAAACCACACTTTCTATCCATCTACCTCAACACTTAGTGGGGTAGACCTCTTGAATAACATTTGACTTAGGATGTTATAACGACTTGGTAAGCATCACAAATAATATTGCGGCAGCATAGTAATTCATTCAAACACTATCAAATCCCTTTACAACATTCAACATATGTGATTTTCGTGCTTCTTATTAGAAAAAAAGTCACGAGTCCTAAGCGGCACCTTTCCATCCTGCAGTTAGATTGTGAGATTGACCAGTTGTCGGTAGGGCAGGGGGTGGCTATGGGACTCTGTCCGACAAGCATAGCGTTTGACGAGGACTGCTACACAGCTTATATGGCCAGCTTACACCATTGCACTTAACTATATCTTCTCACATAGTCTTCATGTCATTGGTCTACAAGTAAGTTACAACTTACAGGCTGAGCTTCTGTTGTATGCTGACACCGGCGCTTCACTCAACGCAACTTCAACAACCAACTCAGTAATCATAACAATCAACTTTCAGAAATCTGCCATTATTTGATTCAAATTTGAGGCTAAACATGGCTGTGTAACGTACAAGGACCAATTCTGGACAGACTCTGATATATTAGGCGGAGACCCCCCTTTTTCATTTCCATTTCGTTTTTGGAGAACAGAAGCAGGTCTGGCAAGGGGAAAATTGTGCCTGCGGTGCCTCTCTTGCCGATTAAGTGTAACTTGAATAAATTATTTTCAGGGATTTGCCCTCATACAACTTAAATCAAATCTAGCCTCAAACTTGCATTGATTGTGTTGTGTGAAGCGCTGGCGGATACCAATGGCAACTGTACTGTCTACCTACCGAGATACCTGACTAGATCTTATGAGATCTTTATGTGGGAACAAGTACGTGAGAGTAAGTCTCTTTCCTATCCATATGCCTTGGTGATGCGTGGGTAAGGAACCGAGATGGAGGATGGGCGTTTGGGTTGTCAGATATCGGTTTTGCAAGATGCCCCTCTGGATGACTTTGATCTTTCCCAGGGGACTAGAGCAACGCTCATGCTTTTTGTTTTTTCCAGTTAGGAATAGATAAATCACCGCATGGCAGCTGGAAGCAGACTTTCTATTTCAAAAGGCACATGGCGTCGTCTGTACCAGTGGGATACCGATAGATGAGGTAGGAAGGGCGTATGGGTATCAACTGTGTGTATAGTGCACGGCAGCGCGACGGAGTTGGGATCATTAACCACATGGCGCGGTTGCATTGACGTGAAACGGGATAAGGCGAAACAAGATCTCTGTGAGATTGAATGACATGTCATAAGATGAGATGAACAGACGTGAGAGGTGTGAGCTGAGCCGGCGGACTATCAGCAACTCATTGAGCGATGTTACACCGCCACGGCTCCTTACGGTTGTAGCGCCACCTGCGCCACTGCGCTAACCACATTGTCGCTGCCTGGCGCGGCATCCGTTCCTAAGTGCTTACTGACTGTGCCGCAATCTACGACATGCTTAAACACGGCAGTTTTCCCATTTTCATAAGTCATTGTTTTTGCTTGTCTCTGTGAACTCATCTATCAATCTAGTATCTTCCGGAGAGAGATTTAGGTTGGAGTAGTCATGCCTCCCACGGAAAGGAAGAATAATCTCGATCTCTCGATACAGCTCCTTCACCCAGACACGCCCCTCCACGGAGGCAGCGTCGTTCTCGGCCATGTCGTCCGCAAATCGCACATTGTCGCCGCCAACGCCACAGTCAGCGTCCGCCTTTTCGGCCGCGCGAAAGCAAAACTCGTCGTCTCCCGTGGCAATAACCAAAAGAGCTACTATCGCTCCCGCTTCAATTTTTGGTCCGAGAACGCTGCCGCCGATGTAGTCCACCGCGGACCTATCCACGTCGCGCCCGGAGCCGGAGGGCAACCTGTATCTTGGCCTTTTGCGCTCGCGCTGCCGACGCATACGGATGCAAGGGCCGTGAATGCCTGTGGCGGGGATAGCGCCAAGGAGGCGTGCTTCTTGCGCCCCAACATCGGTGGTCATGCCGGCCTAGGGCTGCCCGAGCAACCGTTGCCCGGGACGTTTCATTTCGATGGGTCTGGGTTCAATAAGAGTTGGCATGGCTTCGTGGAGTACTGGATCGAGGCCGAGCTGACGGTGCACGGCAAAAGCACCGTCGTGAAGGCGGCGATGCCTGTTAGGGTGTTTTCGCCTCCGGTACCATCGCCAATGATCAGCGACTTTAGGCTGGAGAGACGGAACAAAGCTGGATGCGTGAGCAGCCAGCGGTTGCTACCAGGAATGACGGACGCGGAGCTGTCTTTCAAGCAAAAGACGCAAAAGTTCTTTGGCTCGTCCAAAGTCCCCACCTTCCACTACACCCTCGATGTGCAGTATCCAACGGTGATTCAGCTGGGCAACGAGGCGACCATCCCGTTCCTTCTTCATCTGACACCATCCAGAGATCGCACGTCAGAGATCATCGAGGACGTGCCGCAGACAGTGACAATAGAGCAGATGGAGCTGGAGCTACAGACGACGACAGGCATCATTTGCCCCGGAACACTCGATCCACACGACGCAAGCAAGACGCGGAAACTTTGCCTGGCGCGACTGAAGCATCTTTTCCAAGCCCCAGATAGCACCATTGTCGTTCCCTCGGGTCCCAAGGAAGTCCCACTAGACCTCGGCGCCGTACTGGATCTACGTATCGACGCGCTGGGTCGACTAGTCCTCGGACAGAGAAACGGTGCAGGTTCGTTTGGTCAGACGGTCGTACCCACCTTTGTAACGTATTGCGTAAAGATTGAGCACGTGTTGCAATGGGAGGTGAAGCTGTCGGTGGCTGGGGAGAGCTGGAAGTGCGAGGGAAGTCAAAAGCTGCTTGTCCTGGCACCAGATGAGGATACAGCAAGTGGGAGGACGAGAGCGTCTGCGGTTGCTTCTTCATCGAGTGCGTCGCCGCCGCCGCCTGCTGAAGAGGTTCCTGCTTACGATGAGCCTAGCGAGGCGGCGCCAGCATATGAGAAGGTCGTGGGCGGTGGGAAGGAAGCACCCGCCATTGGGGGGAAGTCGTGAATCTGCGATAAAGCTCAGGAAAGTAAGAGGCTAGGAGGAGCTCATGGTTGAGGATCGAGGGGGTTGAAATACATGATACCCATACAACAGCGGAATCGGTTAGAATAGTCTAGATCATGAAGACTAAGCAATGGCAGCATCGTGTCCAACGCGGTAAACTTGAAGAATTTGTGATATTTTGCTATCGGGTATCTGAACAAAGACTAATGACGACCTCGAGCCGTGCGACGACGATGCTGATCGCGAATGATTCTCAATAGACATAAAGCAGTGGCTAGAATGTAGCGAGCTGAGGACTGGTCGGTGTCGCCCTTGGACTCGCGGAGGGGTTGACAAGTTGGGATGGCCTGCTAGGAGGAGATGATATGGCGAAATTGCTTGATGCTTCTTCGGGATCTTATTCTTCACGCATTGAAAACACGTGCCTCGAGCGCTATACGCGTCCACTATCAGTAAAGTTCTCCCCAAGGCTTGGCTTCAAAGGACCGGAATCAACTCACATCGCTCCTTCGCAGGTCTACAGCTTGAGCACACAGACCGATAGCATCCGTCGATGATGTACCGTTCGGCACCGGGGTTGGTGTCAGAGCACCAGTTCAAACAAGCCCCAAAGTCGGTCCCAAACGTGCCGCACTCTCCGGCCGCGACCGGCACGACAACAATAGTAGCGAAGAAAGATGCGGCAAGTGCGAACTTCATTGTGACCGGATTCAATAGTGTGAAGTTAAAAAACAAGCTTAATGGAAGTACCGAATTCCAGCAGAGTTTGGAAAGGAAATAGCGAAAACGAAAGTTTTTAGGTGAGAAGGTTTGATTGACTGGGGAAAAGGGAAAGCATGTTATTCATTTGTAGAGATCTGCATCGACATTGCATGGCTCTTATTCTCCAGTCGGCATCATTCGCATTCCTCATAAATCTCCCCGTCATTCGTGAAAACTCGGGCGGGTGCAGGGCACACGTGAGGTTTCATCCCGGAATAGAACCGGAGCAGACCGATCATTTGGAAACGACCCAGTATTGCGGTCACAGATCGGCAGTGCTCATTGTTGGCTGAGATGAACGGCGTGCCAAGTGTCGCTTGATGTATCATGTGCATGGCGGTTATATCATAATACGCGTAGAGTTGACGGGCGCCGTGAGCACACGAATCATTGCTCAGTGGAAACTCCTTCACTTGTGTTAGGATTTAGGGGCCAAGCTCCGGTTTGGATGCCCGTTAGGCTGGTTAGACTGAACTCTAAACCTGAGTTGACATGGAAGTTTGGATTCTGTAACGGGTTCGAGTCAGGTTCTGGAGCAAGCCAGCACGCCGCACCATGAGGAAGGCCTCATCGTGGCTAGGGTCTCCGACCGAGAAACCCGTCTCAAATTAATAGAATCTCCTTCGTAGGTTGCAATTGGCTAATATAACGAGAAAAGGAAGCGATATTGGTATGATCAGTATTCGTATCAATCATTTGGCGCTCGAATACTTCGGACTCTTTTCAAAACTGGAGCACCTGTAGCCAACTTCACTAACTTCCTGAAGCCTTAATTTAGGGTCTTTTGTGGACTATGCATTACAATTTTTGAAGTTGAGGCCTCGCAGACAGGACCGCCATTTGCATGTGATTGAGATCATAAATCAAGGCAGGTGTGCTTGCCCAAAGGTGAAGAAGCCGGATAATTGTTTCATTTCATGGAGGCTTTGGGGTTCATTATTGGACTGAGCAGACTTCTGACCACACGCGTGAGCCACATGCATCCAAGAGTCTATCTTTGCAATGAGCAAGTCCAACAAATGTTTTCACAATTCAGAATATATCATTTTGATGATTATTCAAGTCCGATTGGTCAACTCCTCCGTATGGAGCTCAACTAGGCATGTAAACCCGATGTACCCAACATTGACAGCATGCAGTCTAAGCCTTTCCGATATTAATGCTCACCGTGTCCGCAAACCCTCCCACCGGAGCATCCACAGTCCAGACCCTGCCTTCAGACATGATATAATTGGTCAGGTACTTGATGCCAGCGCTAAAGATGCTGACTGCCTTCCTGTCATTGTTGTTGGTTAAAACGATGCCCTTGCAAGTGTAAGTCCACACGTTGCGACCGCCCTGGCGGACCCATCCTCCGACCATATGGAAGGAAACAGTTACGCCCGCGAGCAGGAGTGACTTGGCAGAGGCAACTCCATGAGGAATGGGGATGCCGTCAATGCGCTTCTCGAGAGCCATGGATGAAGCGACTTCGTCGTTCGATCTGACAACACTATCAGGACGTTAGACACGCAATTAATATATAGAGTCACTTAGCTTACTTGATGGTCTCCGGGGATTTGATTTCGGAGCCAATGAGCTGGAGGGAACCTTTAGCATCCTCATGCGCAGCAGGGTCATGCTCGACAGGAGGGACAGCCAGTGCCGAGACAGCGGTGGCAAGACTCAATGCTGCGAGGAACTTCATGATTGGAATCTAAGGGAAGGAATGTAAACTTCAGATGTGAAGTGATGAAGGAAAGGTGTGAAGTACAAAGGTTTCAAGGCGGGGAGTTCCAGATACTTATACCGTGCAATTAGAGAGGGTCAAGCAAGTTTAAGGCATAGATGAAGCTGCCAGATGGGCCATGGCAATGGCGAATCCGTTCGGCATCTCATTCGAACTGCCTGGAAAATAACGGGACATCAATAACACAAGCTTTCAATAGGGGAAAGCCAATCCGCCCGGTGTTGAATCTTGGTAGGGTGGCAGGTGTGGTTTAGTGATCTCTATGTCGATCAATTTGTCCAGCGAACAAATCCGAGATGACTGGACCGGAGACTTTCACGATGCAGAGGAGGGCGAACGAGGCTTAACTTGATCGGTATTAAGCGAGTATTATTCAAGCTTGATAGTATTGTCATTTCTCCTGCTTTTATGATGAGATTCAACCTTGAATGAAGTTCGTTTAGGTTAGGCGTAATGAAATGCCGACTTTTGGCGGAAATCGTGTGCCTCATCCCGCTTGATTTCAATGATTACTTGGTTATAAAGTTGATTCATGGGGAATCACATTGCTCCATCATTGCTGAGCATGACGAAAAGATACGAACACGGATTAACAGAACGGCTTTCAGGATTAATTGCCACACAGTAGCAAGATTCTCAAGTACCTTCCAGAGTAGATAATATCTTTTTAGTCTATTTCGAAAACTTCGTGAAGAAAATGAGTATCATCGGTTCAACGTGTCTGATGATTATAAAGCAGAATACTTTAGGTACTAAGGTACGGACAGCACCAAAGGTTCAGTTCCAAGGCGGTTAAATATTCTATGTCTGAACAGAGTCTTCCAATTTCCAATCAACTAAAAGTCTGGTAGAGCTAGAGAAAACTCTTGATAAGCTCTATCGCTTACAGAATCCGTGGCCAGACTTTCCAGTAATCTTAGGCTGGGTAGAGTCAATGACATCATTGGCCACGGGGTAATATCCATCACGAGCCTGCGCCTCGCAAACGTGGTTCCAGTCATCGCCTTCGACGCGCCTGTGGGAGAACCACTTGCACTTGAGTCGCGAAATATTAGCATTAGACCTGAAAGTTGTCGCAAGAGTGAATAGACTTACCCTGCCCTGACCATGGTTGTAGTTGGCCTGTGATCGTGTTAGTCCATGATGCCCTCCGCCTCGGAACTTCGATTTCCAAAGAGATACGTACCTCGCCCTCATAGTTGTTCTTGCAGGCGTTGAAGGTGAGTTGCCAGTCGTAGGTCCAGCCTCGGCCGTTCCAGGTGCTGCAGGAGCACTCGTAGTGAGGGTCCGCGGCGACGCCAGGGGCGAAGAAGGCGCCCAGAGCGGCGAAGAGAATGGTGGAGGCAGAGAACTTCATCTTGGCAATTTGGATTTAGATATTGAGATGTAATCGAAGTGATGGATGGTTGTCAAGGAGGAAGCGATGATGGCGATGATGATGAGGATGGTGATGAAGTGATGACAAAAGAACGCCAGACAGTTGACTCTTTATGTTCTTCAAAAGCAGTCATCTTGCACGAGAATTGAAGTTTCTTTTTCTTGTCATACGAAATAACTTGGAGGAATTAGGAGTCAAGAGACTCGACTCATCCCGGCTCGATAATCTCAGCCGGAACCTTACAAACACGCCGGTCGCGAGGCTGTCGACAACTTCCAGTCATGGTCTCGTCACCATCTTCCATGTACTGGAATAGAACGACCTTCATAACAGGAGATATGATTCTTTATTTTAGTTCACTAGTCTGGTCAAAATCATCACAAAGGTTTGGTAGTTTGCTGTCTCCCAATGTTCATCAGAATATGTGGTAATCTCAAGACCTAAGTTTGAAGGTGTGAACTTCTCAGCTCGAAGTACCTGTTTCTATCCGGACATCCCGATAGCCTATTACCATACAGGTCTTGATTTGCAGAACATAGAGCTAGGTGCCGGGTTGAGTTGATCGCAACTGTCCACTATCCTACGCCCATTCGATTTACCTTAGCTGTATTCCAGAGCCTTACGTGTGCTTTGCCTGAGCTCAACAGTGCCACATGTAGCCCCGTAGACACGGAAATTAATCAACTTCTGTTCAAGCCTGTTCGCATTTCCTGACTCCGGATTGTTTGTGCGTAATGTGGGGAGAATTGCTGCATGTATGCTATCAGGAGACTATCTCTCCACGCGATTGCATAACATCTGGTGTCCTAGGTACGTAATTTACTACAGCTTTGATGTTGCTTGCGAAGAATTTGGTAATAGCCATGTGTGAGCAAAGTATGTCGTTCCCATGGTAAGTAACTATTGCAAGGGGGTCGGCGTATTTCTTGCTGTGGAAACAGTGACATGGAGAGATCGGCATCGGAGAATTGGGTTTACAGCGCCCGAGACTCTGAAGATAGGACGAGTAATACAACTCGCCAACTACTGACTCCGGGAAGCATATTCCAGATTGTCGGCACGAAGACACGTTGTATTGATACGCGGTCTTGGCACGCCTGGGCCCAGCATCGCCACACGTTAAGCTTTCAAGACAATGGATTCAATCAAATTAGACTCCCAATTCAGCAAAAACTGCCTGCGTATAAAAAGGTTTCCGGCATCCCACATAGATCATGTACCTGACCTCTTTTAACCGCCAACCCCACTTCACGAGTTGCGACTCGCAACCTCGATTGTCAGTTGACGTGATCAATTTGACGGGGGTAGAGTTCTCGACTAACATGGAATGCAGACTTATCGAAGTGTATGGTCTTTCTCTCGGAGAAATGTACAATGCGGCTTCAATCCTTCGAAATCGGGTCTTCGGATGTTTTTGAAGCTGGGGGAAAATAGAACAAATGCTGAAGTTCAATGCTCCAACCTTTTTTTTATTTAGATGAAACTAGCTGGAGGTTCTGCTTCTTATTTGGTCATCAGGCTTTAGCTCTCCGTCATTCTTTGCTATCTTTATTTGCATGAAACGAAATGGCCCACAACCTTTGGCTTGTCTCTTGTGGAACATTTTCTGGTCTAACTGATAATACTTCCAATTTGCCCGATTGATTGTCCATTGAGACACGGTACGAAGACCGACGTCTTGGATCAATTCCAGGACTCTGAACCCGCAACCCTTCTTAAGTCACTGATTAAATTGAATTTAGCTCTTTGACTACTGTCTGTACCTGTGAGCTATTCGTTGCTTCTGTTAACGTTTCAGTGCGGCATGAATGTTCAATGTTCAAGAGCGGAACGGAAGCACGGTGCCGACTTGTCGGCGCCAAAGCCTTACGTAAGCAGCGTTGGTGTCAAGTCTCACCAAGAAGGCGGTGTCAAACGAACGGACATGTCAGCCAATCACATCAACGTGATGAGGCACCAGCAGCCAATTGCTTCTGTTTCACCTCAAACGGAGACAGCTTAGACAGGACTTGCGATACACTGATACTCAAATCAAGTTTACTGCTTCAACCTACGTATGGGTACCTTGAGTCGTGAAGGCTAGCACGACCCATGTGCTTCGCGCTTAAAACTATTCTGGATCCATCGTTGACAATTTTTTACACAGCCAGAGAAAAGCAATTGAGCACCTCGCCTCTCACTATGAACGACTCTACATCGGACACCCTGCCGGCTATAACAGACACGCAAGCGACAACCCCAACCATCAAGACGCCTACGACTATCGTCAAGGTCTTGGATGCTATCAAAATCGACGAAGATGGCGACCTAGAGATTCTAGTCGGCGCAGGCGAGACCGCGCAGTCCTTTATCGTCTGCGCCAAGACTCTTGGCCGCCACTCGCAAGTGTTCAAGAGAATGCTTTTCGGTGGCTTCAAGGAATCAAAACCCTCCGAGAGCGATGGCGGCGATTGGGTGGTGGAGCTTCCCGACGATGAGGCGAAACCTTTTCAGATCCTTCTTGACATCGTTCATGGATGGTTCGAGCAGGTCCCCGAACTACTCACTCTCGACGAGCTGACTGCGCTCCTCGTCTTGATGGAAAAATACGATGTCACCTCTTTAACACGTCCCTGGGCCGCTGGGTAGATGGAAGGAGTCAAGGCCGAAACCCAGCACCTCAATTTGCTTCGCGTCGCTTGAGAGCTTGGCAAAGAGGATGTCTTCAGCGAAATGGTCACGAAGATTGCAAATGAATCGACCCGTTCGTCTGACGGGAGTGAGCGGCTGCAATACGGGGGCAGTTATCTTGATGAGGTGACGAGTTTAGAACCGCCTGGGCTGTTTGGTATGTCTAGACCTCCCAAAATTGGAGACTACTCTGACATCAGAATCAACAGAGATCATCCGAAAGCATCGTGAGGCTGGAGTTGCCGCAGAGCTAAGTCCCTACGTGGAGCTCTACGCTAAGTTGACTACGTCCACTGGAAACGATTTCTGGTGTACCTCGAGCGCGGAGTTGATGTCGCGTCAGAAATGCGACGGCCTGCTTCTTGGGACCTTGATCATGGGCCTCCTAAGGAAGGGTCTTCCCATCACGGCAGAGCAGCCTGCGGAACAATATCTTGGCAATTTGTCACTCTTGAGAGCTACTCTCAACGACCTACAGCTCTTTGTGATCCATGACAAGGTTCAGCATGCGCCCAACTGGACATGCAGAGCCAAGCTGGTCGATTGGATAGAGCAAAGACTCCACCCGGCAAAAAAGTTGAACGAGGAAGCTGTTATGGTACAGCATGTTCACAAGATTCGTCTTCTCAAGCAGGCGCGAAAGACTGGGGTAGATAGAATTCCCGTGACTCTGAAGCCGACAAAAGCGTAAGGTCCTTAGACACAGGTATTGAGACTCATCGTGTCATATCTGTGTCCAACAAGAACACCACGTAGTGATTTTGGGAATAGCGTGGAAATCAACAGCCACCGTTGCGAGATTAGTCGGACCTTTGCGGGCCAAAGACCTTGAAGTGGCTCGACACTTACCTCCTTTTCGTCCCAATTCGTGATGCCAAGAACTCTAAAGTCAATCTCATAAGTAGTAGTCCATCAGACAGATTCATTTGTGCTGTGTACATGTATTCAAGCTGAGACTTGGTTCCAACTGACTTGTCTTTTGATAGAAACCTAGCGCCAAACGGGTGGGCCGAGTTCGAAGATATGAGTGTGATCTATGGATGCGATGACGGAACAGTCACCGAAGACCTTGCCCTCATGAAATGGGCTCGTCTATTTGCTGAAGCTTGCCAGAAACTCGGACGCGAAGACTCACCAGGTCCCAAACTTGAGGATTGGGTCCTCCAAGCCCCATTCAAGAATGTTGTTCACCAACACTTCAAGATCCCCCTTGGCCCATGGGCCAAGAAGGCTCATAATAAGGATCTCGGGATGTGCAATCTGGCTCAAACGCTGGAAGGGCTTGATGCCTTCACTTTGAAACTGTTTATCGGTGTTCTTGGGTGGACTAGAGAGGAGGTGGTTGTGCTCTTGGCCCAAGTTCGCAAGGACTTGAAAAATAGCGCGATCCATGCATATCTGAACTAGTAAGCTGAAAAAGCCTTAGAACACTTGCTCAGATAGATCCTTGTTAACAAATTTGCAGTCACGTTGTCTATGGGCAAAAGATTGAAGAGAAGGACGGAGAAGTTGCCAGCAACTGACTTTTGGTAACATCTTCACGGCTTTGCAAGAGACTAGAGGCATCAGAGGTGGGTGGAACCAGCTAGATCGAAGCGGATGTGATCGAAAGACTGAAGGCAGTGAAGTATTGGTCAAGAATAAGATAGTAATTAGAAGAGAAGTAGAAAAGCTGAGAACCCATATGCGAGCCCAGATTAAAAGAAAATGTTGGATGAGCCGGTCTGACAACTGGGCCTTCGAGGTTGTCCGAAACATACTGCGCCAAACACCATATTGTAAAAGAGACCAAAATGACATAAGCTTCAGCATCGCACCAGATGCTTCAGCTTCAACCGCCAGGTACGCCCGCGCGGATGTTATCGTACTGACTGTTAGGGTAGCTCAGCTGATTGAGGCTTTGGTCCTGGGTGCTCGCGCCACCAAGAGCATTAAAGCTAGTCGCCAGAAGACTCCCACTATCAGTTCTGTCGCCGCTCGCCTCCCAGAACATGGAACCACCGAGACCCTTGCCTGTAAGATATGAAACCTTAGTCCGCACCACGGCGGGAGTATCGTAAGAAATCAGCTCTTTGGCAGCCGAATCGTAGCTGTAGGAGGCAACCGCCGTGGCGTCGTAGAGCTCGGTGGCGCCCGCTCGAGGCAGAGCCTTGTAGTCCCACACTCCGTTCTCCCAGGAACCGCTACCAATGCCGGAAAATGGCTGGCCGATGCCGTTGGTCTGTTCAAATGAGCGTCCGTAGATGGGCATGCCGAGAACTATCTTTGCGGCAGGAACACCGGCTGCGAGGTAATCGTTGACTGCGGCATCGGTGGAGAATGGCGTTGACGATGGGTTGCTAGGGTTCGGGTACAAGTTCGCTTGGTGGCCGCTATTGGTATCCCAGGAACCGGCATAATCGTATGCCATCAAATTGAAAGCATCAATAACATCAGAGATTGCTTTGAGATTCAAAACGTTGTAGTGACTAGGGCCCGCAGGTGAAGCAATAGTCAGCAGGTAGTGATACCCGGGAGTGTATTGGGCGGCGTAGGAGTCCAGCTCGCTTCTGACAGCTTGAAGCAGGAGAACCATGTTGGCTGCTTCAGTGGCGTCGGCTGGATACTCCCAGTCAATATCGATGCCGTCAAAGCCCCAGTCTTTCATAAGCTTGACCGAGGACTGAGCAAAGAGGGTTCGGCCTTCGGGCGTGCTAGCGGCAGCGGGGAAGTTGGTCGACCATGTCCAGCCTCCAATACTGAGCATGACTTTCATTCGGCGGTTGGCCTTCTTCAAGAGGTAGAGCTGTTTGACGCAGCCATAGGCGTTGGTGCCAACATCGTTCCAAGCTAAAGTTCCAATGCGTCAGCATGAGTCGGTGTCATCTCCTATATGAATAACAAGCCTTACAATCAGTGGGATAGTGCTTCTCCAAATCGGCGTATGTGTCGGCGGTGTAGCTTTGAGTAGGTTTGGCTGTTAGCTCGCCTGTTCCTGCGCTAGTCGTCTAGGGCGAGCTGCGAATTCACTTACACTTCGCCAGTCGCGCGAAGATTCATGAAGGCATAGAGAACATTGGTGATCTGCGATGCCGGAAGATTCTGGGGCTGATAATTGCGACCGTATATAGCCCTTCAATGAGGTTAGATGAGCTTGTTTACCTCGGATCTCAAAACTACTTGCCAGTTGGTGAAGTAGACTGCATTCGTGTAGCCTTGGAGACCTCGCTCCGTGATGTTTGTCGGCGCCGCCGTGGAGGGGCGCACAGCTGTTGAGAGTATGCCACCCATAATGATTAATGATTGAAGAAGCTTCATCTTGAAAGCAGTATGAGTTGATCCGTTAAATAGCTTGCTAAAGGAGTGAATACGAGAATGTCTCTGCAAGTCAGGTACACGTCACTGGACATGAAGCGATCAACTGATCATATTATACTAATTGAGTCCGTCGATGTTAGACAAGACGCTATCTACAGTAGTCAGCCGTCAAGCAACAATGTCATTGTTCAAGTCCTGACGTCCAGTCGTCTGGGTGTGACTTGCAAACCCGGCCCATTGCGAGCGAAACGTTACGCGTCTTCAAATGAGGTTGTGGATTTTTTCTGGGCATGTAAACCCCTTAGATCCGCTTCTGCGATTCACTCTTGGTGTGCCGGTCTGTCCATGTGCAAGAATTCGAGCGCGACGTCCGTTTGTCACGTTCAAGTGGTAGCAGTGAAGTTAACGATGACCTGCAAGCCTGGCCGCTCAATGTACCATTAACACACCATAGTCATTTGTACCCACCCAGAGCACTGGTTGTAGGTAAGAGCTCGGAGATTCGCTGTGAAATTTTGTGTGTCCAGGGAGCGCCAACACCAAAGGTGAGGATTTGGCGATGGTGCCCGGTGAGTGGCTGGGACCAAGGTGAGGGGCCGGGGCTAATGCAGGTGGTAGCCGACTTTCCTCTGTTAGCACAACAAGAAGAGTCGTTGAGATTGGCTGAGTTCTGATATTCTTCAGGAGATACCCTTGAATGGCCATGTGCCTACAATTTGGCCAATGTAGGGCGAATGACCGAGTCGGGGCCGAATGTGACCCTCCACTGCGTGGGCTTATCGCCCGTTTGGGACAGGCTCAATGTGAGCACATGCTTCCTTTCTGGCGAATCCCCCAAAAGCTGTGGGTTTCTTATCGCAGTAAGGGAGTTATAGGAGAGACTTGTGACGTGTTTCTGCTAACTATCAATTGCATTGAGTGGGTGTTGTCTTTGATAACTCAAGCCAACTTGCACTGCCGAGACATCTAAACAAGACACACTGTCAAAAGAGAGACCAACCCCCAACCGAAACAGTCCAAACTCGGTTCAGAGTTACCCCGTCCCAAGCATCACATTGAAAAAAATCCTACGGAACTCACTATTCCCTTCTGGAAGGTGAAAATGTGATAAGACGGCAGCGGCACATCACCCGCTCCGCCCTTTCGTCAAGAGCGGCTACATCAGGGGCACCCTCTTGATGCTAACACCATCTGAGTAGCTGCCATCTGATGTCTTGCATATTGCAAAGTGGTATTGGCGGTTGACCCCGAGGTTTCCTATACCATCTGCAATGTCCATGAGGCTCACTCCAAATGATATATGATCTGCAACGTTGCAAATGGAACCCGAAGCAGCGGGTTCTAAAGATTAGGATCTACAAGGAGGAACGAACCACCATTCGATACCAGGATGATACTTGAGATCTAGGCAACCAGCAACTACTACGACGTTGTGAACGTTTACTACCTCCCGACTTGCTGTCCGACAATCCGACTTGCCATGTCTCGTGACTACCTTAGTCATAGGAGGAAACCAGATCGGTCCGCGCGTCACCTCGGTTGCAACTGACGTTGACCCCCGGCCTCCGGCAGTATATATCGTCGAAGGATCAGAGCGAGGAGGCAGAAGCGCAATGAGTTAATTTTTTCAACGATTAGATCCCATGCCTCGCGGCATGGGGAAGTTGATTGTTGCATTAAGCCTATCTGGCAAACGCTACTCTCTCACTTGGCAGTTCCCACAGTTCCAGTAGCACGTTGCTCTGCAGCTGCATCTGTTACAGAAGGATCTCGAGTCACTGCGACTGGCGGATGTTGAGGATGCGAGGCTTCTTGAGCCAAGTTGCTCGCGTTTCCATCGGCAGCCCCGACCCGTGTCTCCCCGCCGGGTTCCAAATCAACTTGCTTCTCAGCCAGCTCTTTCTGCGCCTTCCTGATGCGGCGGCCTCGCCTGATGGCCCAGATAGACAAACCCATGACCATAGTGCAGAAGACACCGACACTGAGGCCGATGGCCAGGTTTGCCTCCAGTGGAAGGTGTCCGGGGTAATAGCCATCGCCCAGGTAGGTTGTACCACCGCCATAGGATCCGTCTCCGGAGCCCGAGCCCGAATCACCTGTTCGACATTGAGACGAGGTAGATGAGCACCAGTTCGGCATGACGCTCGTCGACGCGGGGATCTCGGCTCCGTAGCTTGAGAACGGAATGAGGTCTTCCGTCTGCGTGCTGCCAAACTTCGTCTTTGCAATGCCAATCTCTTCATTGATCAGGTCAAATACCATGTAGGAATTTTTAAGGAATGCATTGCCCAAGGAGTAAGGATAGGAAGGAGACGTGTATGTCGAGGTGGAATTCTCCGACTGCACTCCGAACAAGCAGTACTCGGAGGCCGACTCAGTCTCCCAAGACCACTCCGAATGGGACCAAGCATCTTGAGACACCACGAGGTCGGCAAGAGCTACATTCAACACAGGTCCCTCCGGCCCGTAGAGCTGTACGGCCAAGCGACCCATGGTGGTGTTCGCGGTGCAGGGAATGATCGCGTAGCCAAGGTCATCGTTCCATGAAGCCCCAGCGAGAGCCCAGAGATCCAAGGCTATGTCGTCGGGTAGCACTGATAAAGCAGCATCTGGCGAGAGAAGGACCAGATTCGAGGTGTCATATGCGTCGGTTTGTTGGCGCAAAGATCCTCCGAGAGGCTGTAGGTCACCTGTATCCGACTTGCTTCCATTGAAGGACGTGATAAAGGTGTCAAATCGCCTGCTTGTCGACCATGTCCCCGTTGTGCGCACTGAGAAACGGATCAGAGGGCCTTCAAACTTTGATGTATCGATTGCGCCCAGCAAAAGATTCCCAGCCTCGGCAGATGCATCGTTGAGCCAGAGACTATACGCAGGGGAGCTAATCAGACCATCTTGTAACAAGCGTTCAGGAACGGTAGGATAATTGGAGGTACTGCTCGGGCTGGCGGTGGATTGCGCACCGCCGGTGGTGTTGAAGCCCAGTCCCAGGACACCGATCAATACATCTGCCGATTGAACGTAGCCCATGATCATCTTAGATATCTGGCTGCCGGCCACGCCTAATGTGTCGCTGATCCATTCTCCCTGAGCTCGGCCGACCGAGTACCTGGTGCTGAAGTCCTCGGTGCCGGGGTTGACGTAGGTGGATGACTCGTTGCTCTGGAAAGCACCGTATTTGCACGAATATGAATCGAGGTAATAGGCACTCCTGGTGGAGGAAGAATCGTAATAGTCGCTGTAGTTGTAGTAGTCGCAATATTTGGCGTTTGGGACCCAGGTGTACTCAGCCTGCACGGAGACTCTCAAGGAAAGATCTTGTGGCGGTGAACCGACAGTGGCGTTGACCAAATAATTCCAATCCGTCACGTAAACATCCATCGCAGAAACTGATCGACGGTCCGCCTCGTCCCTGGTTCCGACATTGCTACTGGCCTTCGGCTGAGATCGATGTGAGAACGGTAGATGAACTTGCGCTAGGGCAGTGGCAGCGCAGCCGCTGAGCGCGAAAAGAACGGACGTCCTCATGACGATGAAGGACAAAAAACGAATGATGGCGATGAATGACGCATGATGGAAAAGGAGGGAAAATTGAGAATAAGAGGCGAATGGTGAAAAGGGATCAAATTGTGAGCCGATGCGACGAGAATTCCAGGCTAATGCAAAGCCAAGCGGCACAGTATCTTTAAAATAGGCAGCAGAGCAGTAGCTCAACCAACACGAAGGAATACGATGCTGTAGACAGGGGTTTAGCGACATTACGAGGTGGAGTTCCACCGCGTGAATTGGGTTAGGTGATCTAGAATTCGCGAACTAAGTCTAGCTAAAATTCAAGCTTGTTTTTCAAGCCACCATCAACGGGTACCGGCGGTTGATTCTCAGTTCTGCAAGGTTAGATCTTTCTCAAGAACCCGTCTTCGCCTGAGCAAGCGTTGAGAAGTTCTTTCAGCTCTCCGAAGGCTTTGAGTATGCTCTCCGATTCTCCCTCCCACTTCTTCCGCGACTCTTCCCCAATCTCCCCGTGGCCCATGGCAGCCACCAGATCCGGGCCGGCCCCACCCGCAAATGCAAGCGCCGGTCGCGTCGGCGCAACCCGGAGCTTCATGCCCTCCAGCGTCTTCTGCGCTTGCGCTGATGCCGAGTTGCCGCCCATGATGCCGTAGCTGACTACAACAATGGGTTTGCCGATCCACTCGTTATACAAGTAGTCAATGGCGTTCTTGGTGCCGCCAGACAGGCCGTAGTTATATTCGGGAACCACAACGATGTAGGCGTCGTACTTGGCAATTTCCCTGCTCCATGCTTTGCTGTGCTCATGAGTGAAGTCGCCTGCAGCTGGGACCTGAGCGGGAATAATCTGTTCATCGAAGACAGGAAGTCTGAAAGAAGCGACTTCTACGAGATGCAAATCGATGCCATTGGTGGTAGCATCTGTGGTGATGGTATCTTTCACCAATTCCGCGACCTTGGTTCCAATACGTGGGGTTCGGGTACTCGTCGCAATGACAACAACTTTCTTAGCGGTACTCATCTCGATAGAGATCAAAAGGTCTGCGACTTGACTGACTGCTGCAAGAGTTCAGCAATGCATATGTCAGGTTGAAGGTTAATAGAGACTGGAAGTACTCGGACGTAATAGTTGATGCATGTTGGTTAAGCAGTCTTTTTATACCAAAGATGAACAGCCAACGCTCTGTGCACCCAAAGCGTGTCCCTCGCTTCTTTCCCCCCAAGTTTTGCAGCTTCAGCTCTCAAGCCGCTGATTCATAATCAACTCAAGTGGTCCTGTTCTAGCCCCGCTTGACCACGTCAGAGATATAATCACCCTCTATGCCGGACAGTGACCTGTACTCGACTTCACATAAGCACGCCAGACCCGCGCGCGTCGATTATGAGAGGCGTACTAAGGTCAGATAGATGTGCAGTCAAAGACTACATGTGAAAACCACCATTGTCATGGCAGCCTATGGAAGTCGTCTCCTCGCATCAACTCCGCGCGGTTTCTTTGGTGCTTACAGCCGCGCGCAGTTACCCACGTTCTTTCGTCCCAACTTGGGGAAAGGCGAAACGAGCCGCGCGCGGGGAACGGTAAGACGAAGCAATCCGCGCGGACGTTAGTCATCCACACAAAGGTGCGTCAACGAATGATAGAGTTTTCCTCGTACAAAGTTCCGACGAACCACCACCCCCATCTCCAACTCCTCGGTCGGTGCATCGTGAGACCTCAATCAGCGGTGTAACTTAGTCGTCCTGCGCTGAGTCGCCAGCATCTGTGGACCACCAACCATGATCTGGTTACTCCTGCCTCGGTGGCTCAGTGGTAAAGCGTCTCACTCGTACTGTTGTCCGTCATGAGAAGATCGGGCGTTCGATTCGCCCTCGAGGCACCATTGCTTTTGACCTTTTTGTATTCTAGCCTCGAAAATGGTCTACTCAACACAGGAAAAGAGAATGTTGAAGATTGCGACATCCTTTGAAAATTGGACGACAGAGAATGGCTTTCGTGTGCTTGGACTTGCCGTATTTATTTTCGGATTTGTCTCTTCCAGGGCTGATATCATATGGCTAATAAGGTAAATGCGCAGAACATGACATGCCGTTTCGACTTGAAGGTGACATCTGAGAAGAGTCATTGTTTCAAAACTCCAATCTTCGACTGAAGTTGGAGCTTGATATGTACATTGAAATCGCTGGCGCTATGGCGTCGACGCGATAGCCAGACAGATGGTTACGTCTACGCGCTGTAAAAGGCAGACCATGCAAATGGTCATAAGATCCTCCCCTATGTACGCACGTTTTCTTTTCTGAGTGATACTGCGCTGAGATTATTTATGCTGGACAGTACAACGATCCAGAGCAGCAGGAAACAGCGGCATCTCGGCCAGAGTTGGGTGTGCACTAGATACAAGTCAGCTATGAAGCCCACCCGCATGGTTCTTCTGCAGTGAGCACGAACTTTTGACTTGCAGATCGCCCAAGGATCAGCGTAGTTGATTCTACACTACGATGAGTCGCATCATTAGCACTTAATCTTCCAATTGCCTGAGGATCACCCGAAATTCAGGGACAGGTGGACAATCTTACGTCTTCAAAATTGCAGTCCGAGGGAGGGCCAGTGCAAAATTGCGCAAAAACACCTTGGAAGATGATAGCGGCGGCAAGGAGGAGGGTTGTGGATTGGAAGTGCATTGTGAATCTATACTCGAAAAGATGATTGGTGCAAAAGATCAAGCTCGATGGCCAGGTGTCGAAACTTTTGGTACTGTGAAGTGTGGTTAATGTGATTAATTAGGTCATAAAATCAATGTTGGTGTTGTAGGACGACTTGTACTTATATCATCTACACTTGATTCAACCTCTGCAGTTCATACAGAGTCAAGAGAGATCCACATCGTATAAGAGAGTTTTCAGAATGATGTCTCAAAGTAAGAAAAGCTGCAGTATACGGATACCCGACTTGTCGCGCATAGAGTGAAAAATGTACCTGCGGAACCAACCGGCAACAATTCGTGTGCGCACTGATAGCCATATCCCGCATTTCCTTACCGAGTACCGGGGCGGATAACTCCTTCCCTCACTTACTACTCGGCTTCTCTACAGTGCAATTGAGTTCACTATTGATAGACATGAGACGAGACCCGCCTACCTTGTAGTTGATTCTGACTCGGACTCAGCTCAGATGATGGAGTTTGCAACGGAATGCTGGTTTCTTTATACAGCTGAAAAGCATTTGTTGAGCTCCGGCCAACTTAAGCCCTGGGAGCCGAAACGGGATGTGGCGTACTTAGGGGAGGGATTGACTCCTAATTCCTAAAGACATTGAGGCGGGTTCAATCGCGAAGTCCTCCCGTATTCGTAAGTGATGTGGGGGCAGTCCTTCAAGCCGTCCATATTCCCCAAGGCTCCGAGTAACTCGGAATCGGTTCGACACGCGTTACCAAACATGTAGCTTCTAGGGAACCGTCAATACGTTAGGCAGTTGGGCTTCAATTGGTGGGGGTCAATGTCTAGTAGTTCTGTCTGTTTTCACGTAGATTAAAGTATGACAAAAAAGTACTACTACATCAACGACAAGAGAATGAGCACTGGTTGAGTGTCTTCCGCGATTTGGAGAGTTGGAGAGTCTCGATTTATCAATCCATTGCACCACATTGTTATAGTTTGCAGGGACTCCGCGACTGTGCACTTGATAGTATGCAGTCAATTTTTGGACTTGAAATTGTCTCGCCGCGGATACTTCCTTTCCTAGTTCAACAATCGGTCAAGTTCAGAGTGCACTCACTGCGCTACTCCTCCTCGCTGCGCGAACCGATGACATGATCTGACAGGGGCGTGCTGGGCCTCATCGCCGACAGCCGCAACTGAATGGGAGTCTTTCTGTCCATGGCACCACTCCTTATCAAACACACGTCTAGACCCAAGACCAATGACGGACCTCGACCAGGACCCTTGCTAAACCAACTTCTCAATTGTCTCTTGTGGCATTGTCAGCAATCAAGACCGTTGCGGTGTGGCTTGCAAGGGGCCTTGCCTTGGCCAGTACCAACTGGCACCAACCAAGGAGTGAGAGGCCAGGGAGTATGACGTCACCAAATAAGCGCCCCTCGCCAAGAGCGCGATGGCATCGAATGAGGTCAACGACTGAGATGGGCGTGAGAGCCGTCAGCAAGAAGGAATCTTGCTTGTCAGGCCTGTCGGCTAAACAAGTTCTTCTGTCCATTGCAACATCAACGATTTACCTGGACAGTCGAGTTTCGAAAGATTGTCAAATATATCTGCAAAGTCGGCACCTCCATCGGCTGCATCCGATCCCGATTTCTATGCATCAAATCACACAAGGATCATCCTCCACGAACCACTGCTCTCTTTCACGTTAGACAAGGGCCATTTCTGTACCTGCGGCACCATGAGACGAACGAGTCGCATATTGCTAGCTTCGCTGGCCCTCCACTCCGCAGCATTCGCACAGTCCGACCTACTGTCAAAACGTGGGCTGGCTTTCCAGGGCGACGACCACACAGCCGACAGCCAACTGCTCACCTCCGCAAAGTCGTTGATCAGCTGGTATTACACATGGTCAACATGGCCTGCACAGGCCCTGAACAGCTCCATCGCGTTCATCCCGCTCATCCACGGCGTTGATGACGCTTCAGATTCTGGCCTCAGCACACGTCTCAACGCACTACCTGAATCATCAACCCATCTCCTCACATTCAATGAGCCCGACGGAACGACATCATCTGGCGGTAGCAGCATCGACCCAGAAGATGCCGCTAAAGCCTATATTAAGCACATTGTGCCCTTCCGCAACTCTGGCTCCCGCAAGTGGAACATCAGCCACCCGGTCGTCACCGGCTCCCCGCAGGGCATAGAGTGGCTGCAAAAGTTTAATGAGTCATGCTACGACATTGATGACAACGGCTGCCCGACCGACTTCGTCGCCGTGCACTGGTACGGCGACGTGACCGGGCTCAGGAACCACCTCGACGGGCTGCGGGATTTCTACAACTCCACATCGCCGGACCTCA